CCTAGTAACCTGGGTTTCAGGTGTCATGTAAACTAAGATTTGATTTGCAGTCGGGCGGTGCAAATTCCAACTGAATTCCCACTAAATTGGAATAAATTAAATCTATCTCCAATGCATAGCTGTAATAGCAATATCACTTAAGATTTATATATAGCTTCAAAGGGCTTTCCAGCCTTCTGAGTAGTTTACAGAGTCAGCCTCTTGCCCCCAACAGTTTTGGGTCCTCATTTTACCCACCTCGGAAGGATGGAAGGCTGAGTCAACCTTGAATCCTACGGAGAAAGCTCAGTTTCAGTCACCACTGAATAACAAAAAGAGGTTTATATAAGAGGAAAAGCTTCCCAGGTTATCACCCCATTCTAAAAGTATTTTCTACCTAATGAGCTCGTTTTTGTTCGAAGTACAAATTAAATTGGGACAGAAGCTCCTTGGATGAGAAGGGAAACATTTTCAAAGGACAAAAAAAAAAAAAAAAAAACCAACCACCACCAAGAAAGTCCAGCTTAGCTGACTGAGCCTCTTCTTCAGACACCGTTAAGTTGGGGGAGAAAAAGAAAGAAGAAAAATGTCCCAGGGAACGTTTAACAAACCTGAGCCAAACGTGTCCATTGGAGCAAACAGCCTGTTTGGGGTCCGTGAAGGGCAGGATCTCTTTACACAAACTGCAGCGTTCGGGGAAAGTTTGCTTGTTCATTTTCTTTAAAATGTGCCCAATCAGCACCTGGGGAAACATTGCAACGGGGCTTATAAGGAGAGACAGACGCAGAAGGAGAGGTTTATGAAGAGCTGAAGATGGAACAATCCATCCATCCGTCCCCCAAAATAAATAAATCTGCTTAAAATGGAGTTTAAGGTGATCACAATAGCACTCAAGACTTATGTACCGCTTCACAGGGCTTTTACAGCCCTCTCTAAGTGGGTTACAGAGTCAGCCTCTTGCCCCCAACAATCTGGGTCCTCATTTGACCCACCTGGGAAGGAGGGAAGGCTGAGTCAACCTGGAGCCTGGTGAGATTCGAACTGCCAAATTGCAGGCAGCCGGCAGTCAGCAGGAGGAGCCTGCAGTACTGCACTCTGACCACTGCGCCACCGTGACTCTTACTGATAAGAAGTGGGGGGGAAGGGAGGTCCCACAGGTGACGGTAGACCACAACTGAGCCCCAAATCCCCACTCCTAAGCAAGGCAGTTAAGCGAGTTTTGCCTCACTTTACGACCTCACAGTGCATGGAAAACCGGCTGGTCAGGATATTTCCACCCCCACCCCCCAAAAACGGTTCCGCGGTCCAGGTGCCCCTCTCCCACCCTCACCCGCGCTGTCCTGTCCTCGTAGCTTTTGTCGGAAGTCAGGAAATCACAGACGCCCCTGGTGGGGATGCTGGTGTTCTCCGTAATCCACGTGTGGAGGTAGACCTCGCCCAACACGCGCTTCATGTGTTCCCGCGTCAGGTGCATTTCGACCGCTTCCATCTGGGCCTGGATCTCCAGCATCTTCTCTTCCGTCAGCTGCTCCTGGGACCCGCCAGTCGAGGGGGCCAACTGGGACTCCTGGCCTTTCTGGGCCTCACTCGGACCCTTCCTGCCCTGTTCTGAAGGCTCCTTCTCGCTGCCCGCTGCCTCACAGGAGTCCACGATCAAGACCTTGGTGTCCTCGTGGCTGGGCCTCCACAGGGCCTCCGAAGGCGGGGTCTGCAGCGACTGGGACAAAACCCGCAGGAGGAAGAGCTTAAAGCGCCAGAAGTAGGTGGACCCCGAGCGCTCGATCTTCTGATCCAGGGCTTCCTGCAGGAAGCGCGGGATCTGCTTCTCTTTCAAGACCTTCCAGCGCACCAGATCGGTGAGGTCGACTTGCCGGTAAAGGTTCTGGATGGGCGATTCCAGCAACTGGGCCGCGGCTTCCTCGCACGTCTTCAGGGTGACGAACTGAACCTGGTAGGTCTTGGTGGTGGGGTGGAGCCCGTTGGCCATGCCCTTGGTGGTGATGGCGGCCAGGTAAGCGCCGCAGGGGCTGACGGCGATGCCGTGGCTGCGGATGGAGCCCAGCACATCCGACAACTTGATCAGCTGGTGCTCAAACTTGAGGGCGAGGTTGGTGAAGATGGGGACCAGCTGCCGGACCTTCCCGTCTACAGAGCAGGTGTAGACGGTGCCGTTCTGCTTGTCGGCAGTCATGGAGACGATAGGCAACGAGTGGAGCCCGGTCACGTGGGAGTTGTGGACATTCAAGCCCGCTTTGGATATCAAGAGGAGACACCAAAAGAGGTAACAGCCTCTCGCCGCCACCACCAAACTGCAGCTGCACTTCTGGTAGGGGTGATAGAGAGGAATGCTCTTGATGTTCTGCACAGGCAGGTGGTCCACTTCCTGCCACAAAACCACCGGCTGTCTCAAGGTGAAGTAACCTTTGACAGCTTTGAGGTTGACCGGGAGGATCTTCACCGGCCCGAAAGCGCTGCCCACGATCAGCCCGCTCATTTTCCGGTTGCTGTGCTCGTACTCCCACCAGGCCAAGACGCTGGGCGAGGAGATGCCCGACTCGATGGTGTTACAAGACGAGATGGATTCTTTGCCCAGGAACGGGAGTTGGCACTGCCACACCGCAATGTTCCCGTTTTCGAAGACCACGGCCAGGAGGACGCTGCTCACCTCCCGGCACTCGTTGTTGTGCTTCACCTGCTGGATGGTGCAAATGCCGGACCATTCCATGCGGACCGGCGTCTGCATGCTGTGCCTCCTCTGGAATTCGGCAAAGTTCCCCAGGTCTTCCTGAAAAGGCTCCTGTGTCTTAGAAAGCCTGTAGCTGTTTTCGTACAGGCACTCTCCGTAGAGTTCGGTCAAGTCAACTAACTGCACCCACTGAAGTCTGTTCAGGTTAGCGTGGATGGTCAGTCGATTGTCCATGGTCAACGCAGCCAAGAGACACCGGCCGTTGGCGTCGCAACCCAGCGGAGACCAGCTGCAGTATCGGAAGCCTCGCATCGAGGACAGAGATTTCCCTTCCGGATTGAAGACTCTGTCTAAGGTGAATGTCTGGCTGACGACCGGATCGTTGGAATTCGCAAACTTGTGTTTGCATTCGGCGACTTCCTTTTTGGAACCAACCTGTTGCGGGGGGAGAGAAGAGGTTTTACAATGCAATTCAAAATGATAAAAGGTTTTTTTTTCTTCCACCCAGGATGTGCCTCGCTAAGTATTGATCGCAGCACATGAGGAATGAAGCACTACAGAGAAAAAAAAAATCTAAGTACTGATTTACTGATAACATGTGGTGCACAGGCTCAACCCCCGTCTGAACTGTATACAGACCTAGATCAAACCAAGTCCAAAACCCGACAAGGGAATCCCTGGAAGACTGGCAATCAGCCATAAGCACACCACACAAAAGATACAACCGAAAAGACCAAAAGGAAGCAAAAAGACCAAAAAACTTCACCAGCAATCAACACTCAGATGGACAGAGATGAACACCCAGATTAACAGTAGGCCAGCAAATCAAGCAGCAAACAATACCCCTAATCGACAACCCAAACAACAAATGTTATTTTATCGCTACCCAGAGTAAGTGTAGCCCCCATCTTCATTCAGGCGAGGGCTTTCCTCATTCCTAGGCAGCCAAAGAACATAATCGCGGTAGTCCAAAAGAGGCGTCAATCCTTCATCCTTGGATTTGATGCCCTGGCTATTCTTTCCATAGCTATGGGGCCTTCGACTCCAGCTCCCATTAATCCCCTCCATTGGGTAGGGAGCCAAGGAAGCGTTCAAGAGGACGGGGAAAGAAAGAGGAAAGAAAAAGGAGAAGGAAAAGGAGAGGAGGAGGAAGAGAAGGAAAGGGAAGGAGGGGAGGAAGAAAGAAAAAGGAAGAGGAGGAAAGCAGGGAAGAAGAGGAAGAGAAGGAGAGGAGGAAGAGAAATGAGGAAAAGGAAAGGAGGAAGAGGAGCAAAGAAAAAGAAGAGAAGGAGGAAAAGGAGAGGAAGGAAGAAGAGGAGAGGAGGAGAAGCCCACCTAGGCCTCCCCTCGCCCCCCCTCCTCCACCCAGTGGCAGGGAGTTCCCCGGGCCCACCTTGAGATGACAGGCGGCGTTGGGGGCCGGCACGGCCGTGCGATGGATGACGAGGTCGCTGCCCCCTCCGCCGCCGCCGCGGATGTCGCTCAGCTGCTCGAGGACGGCCACGCTGCGGGCGGTGCTGACCGACACGCGGTGGTCCTCGGACCAGGCCAGGGGCTCCGAGCCGCTCACGCTGTGCTGCAGCCGCACCGCCGGGTCGCGCCGCACCGCCGTCACCCGGAACCCGGCGCGGCTGCTGGGGCCTGCCCTGCCCTCCGCCGCCGCCGCCGCCGCCGCCGCCTCGTCCTCTTTCCCCAGCTCTTCGGCCCCGTCGGGCGGCGACGGCGAGGGGGACGCGGCCGTCCCGTCCGACGGGCTCTGCTCTGCCGCCGCCGCCGCCGCCATCTTGCCGCCGGGCAACAGAGCGCAGGCGCCGCGCGCGACGCCGCGAGAAAGGACCCTCCCCCGGGACGGGTGGGAGGGCGAGAATGTCCCGAAGCGCGACTATACCATTGCCTGCCTGGAAAGGAACTCTTTCCTGTGCTTAACAGAACAGCGTTGGAAGGGACCTTGGAGGTCTTCTAGTCCAACTCCCTGCCCAAGCAGGAGACCCTGTACCATCCCAGCGGCTGTCCAGTCTCACCTCTTTTAAAAAAAAATTTCCTCCCATCCCCTCAGATTGAGAGCTCACCTCTAATTTTCAACCCCCCCTCCCCCAGCAGGTTCCTGTTGGAGAAAACACCGCTGATATGGCTGGGAGAGAAGAATAAAAAGGAGCAGCATCCGAGATGAAGGGGGGAGATGGGACTTTCCAGCTCATTCGAAGTGGGTTGGTTTGGATTATTATTAATTTTTTTTTAGCAAGGCCATCCACTAGCCACCTATACAGGGAGTCCTCTCCCGGGCAATGTTCCCACGTGGGTTGCAGGAATGGACTGACTGCATGTTTGCAATTATCCTCATTATTAATTTTTTACAAATATTTTTTTCCAGTTGCATTCCTGGCTCTGCTGCGGCCTCTCTCCCGCTAGAGGAGCCCTTTGCAAATCTTGGAAGCCGAACCTCCCCGTGCAGGAATCGTCTACCGGAGCTGGGTTCGCCTAGCCATGGCTTCGGACGAAGGGTTGCTTATTAATATCAGCACGTTGCCTCTGCTTAGGTGCCGCCGCCGCCCCCCTGCAGGACGGAGAGCCCCCAACCCACAATGGGGCCGCGGGAAAAAGGTAGGCTTGTTGCAACTGAGGAAATGGGGGTTGGGTTGGGAGGGGGGGAGAGAGACGGATGTTGGTTTGTACAGAAGGGATGCGTTGCAACGGGACACCTGGACAGCCATTTGTCTGAAATGATATATAGGGTCTCCTGCTTGAGCAGTGGATTGGACTAAAAGACCATTAAAAAGTAGAATTATTAATTATTATTAATTAAAAAGTGGAAGGGCTTCCCTTCAGAGGTGGTGGCTGCTCCATCCCTGGAGGCTTTTAAGAAGAGACTGGACAGCCATTTGTCTGAAATGATACATAGGGTCTTCTGCTTGAGCAAGAGGTTGGACTAGAAGACCTCCGAGGTTCCTTCCTGCTCTGAATCTTTTGGCTTCCCCAGGTACCTTATGCGGTGGGTTGCAACACCCATCGTTCCCGGCTCCTTTTTGGCAACTGAAAACGGTGCCCGTGAGTTGTCACGTTGGATTTCCTCACTGGAGAATGTTTGGAGCTGGCATGCCTGTTGGATTCGATGGCTTGCTTCATTCAAAATGGTGTTCAGGGAAGATAGAATCCTAGGGTTGGTTGGAAGGGACTTTGGAAGTCTTGTAGTCCAACCCTCTGCTCAAGGGAGGAGACCTTATACCATCCTGATCAAATGATGGTCTAGTCTTCTGTTGGAAACCTCGACTGATAGAGCCCCACAACTTCTGAAGCTAAGCTGTCCAACTGATTGATTGATCTCACTGTCAGGAAATTCCTCCTTAGTTCTAGGTTGCTTCTCTCCTTGGTTAGTTTCCGTCTGTTGCTTCTTGTCCTGCACTCGGGTGCTTTGGGGGAATAGGTTGACCCCACTCTTCGTTATAGTTTCCTCAAGTACTGGAAAACCTGAGCTATCACATCCTCCTCACCCCCAATCCTTCTCTTGGATAGGCTAGACATACGTATCTTGTTCCCTCAACAGTCGATTTAACCTCCAGACCCATGATTTCCCCAGACAATAGTTAGTATACAAAACCATCTTTCTGTGAATGTATTTCCTTCATCCCTTTCTTTTCTGCTCTCAGGCCATGAAAAGAACATTAGAAAGCACACAAGAAGTCACTCCTGTAAAAAAGAAGTGTGCTCCTCCGGTGGCCTGGACCAAAAAGCTACGGAAAATACCCCCAAATCACAATAAGGGAACTGGGCCGCCAGGATCGTCTCCGGAAAAGCTTTCACCTGAAGCCAGAGAAGACGACTTCAGCAAGAGACCCTTTGTAAAGACTTCCAGCCTCTTTAAAAACAATCCAGAAATCCCCGACTTACAGAGGTACTTCTCTTCACTAAATCGAAGGAAAAGATGAATTGTAAACTATATTATCTGTTGCTTTGTTAATGTAACTGCCATTTTGGATTTTGAAACTGTAATGGTGGTTGTATCATGATGTGAAGTTCTGGGTTTAATCTTTGACAAAACAAGTTTGTTTTATGCCAACTTTTGATTGGTTCCTTGGTTGATTTCCTTCTTATCTAGAACTGCCGTGAAACAAGTTCAAGAGGAGATTTTCACCTCAGATTCCTTTGATCAGCTGGGTCTCCATCCTCACTTGGTAAAGTTCTTTCCTTTCGGACAGGTGTACAGCAATGTTTCAATGAATCTTTCCTTTTATTCAGACTGTTTTCAGGAAGAACATTTTTGGTCATGGAATTATACCATATGTGTTATGCATGGGTATTGGTAGATGTATATACTTTTCAGAGCAGGCAACAGAATTTCATTTTTGTACCAGTGTTTCCACAGTAAAAAAATGACAATAAAGGTTATCTTACCTGGTTTTCTATACCATTGAAGATGTCAAAATGATATGCATTGTATTATTGTGCGAATGGCACAGCTAAGTAGTTGCATAGAGATGTCAGAGATATATGACAATACACAGTATATCATCTTTTGGCTCTGTGTAGACACCGATCTTTGCTTTATAAGTTAATGTGGGAAGGGAACTCAAACACAATAGCTTTTTCAATAAGCAGTGTTTAAACAAACCAACGTTAAGTACAATCAAGTATTATGCTAAACTAATCTTTGAGCCTAATGTAACTGTGGTCATAATACAACTCCAGCCCTATCCTTTACATTTATTTATTTTTTTCTATTATCAGACTTCAACAATAATCTCTTCCTTGAAACTATCCAGCATGACCAGGTAGAAGGATTTATGTTTGTTTGGGGCATATGAATGCATGAAATATATTCAAACAAATACCTGTATGCGTACAGACACATACCAGACTAAGCGAAAGTCATTTTAGGTGTGTGCATTTATATACATACATGCACACAGTGGAATGATGCAAAGCCTATCTCTTTTCCCTCTACCTTTGTCTTTTTCTCCTATATTTGTGCGTGTACATGTATACATGCTGTATACAGTATATATTCTCAGAAGTAAAGCTATTTTATTCTTGAGTGTTTTTGTGTATACACGTGCACCCAAGGATCAAATAAAGCTATCATGTCTACAGAAAGACAGTCATGCAAAGCAGAATCAACCGAAGCCCCTTCAGTTACTAAATTATGTAGTGCATGTCGATGTTGGTTCGTGTATCTCCACAAAAGCTCAGAAAACAACCCAGCATACCAGATAAAAAGCATCACCAGCTATGAGTAACGGTGAAAAGTGCGACGTGGAAATGTTACAGGCTCCAAGGGCAGATCGAACACAGCTTATTGGTGGGACAGTTGCCTTGTTTGCCTTCTGACTTATTTTTGTTGTTGTTGTTGTTGTTGGTCTCACTTTGTCTCTCAACCCGCCCAGTGTTCAGAAGGAGACCATTCCCAGATTGCTACAAGGGAAGGACGCTCTGATCAGATCACAGACGGGCTCAGGTGAGAATTTAGCCGCTCCTGTTTGGGAGTGGCTAACACAGGGCTGAATAGGATGGAGATAGTGCTTCCTGGAGGTTTGGGGGACCCTCTTGTGCTTAAGGGGGTCTCCACAGATAAATGGGAGAGGGCCTGTTTGGGGGTTTCTTAAGAGATGGTAGCCAGGCATTAAAGATCTGCAAAATTCTGCTGACAAATTATTTTTGTCAGAATTATTGTTTTTTTCTAACCTACCTACCTACTTTCCTTCCTTCCTCATTACTCTCTTCAAGGAAAGACACTTGCTTATAGTATCCCCCTGATACAATCTTTGCAAAAACTGGAGCCCAAAATCAAGGTAAGCATAGACTTCAATTGCAGAAAAGCTACTTTCCCTACTAAAGAGGCCAAGATATATGTCTATATATTTTATGTTCTTGAATGTACATATTCTGTAGGGTCCTTGGTGCTCTCTGAACTCTGTTGTTTTCTTGCAGATGTTTCATTACCCAACTAGGTCACATCATCACGCTAGAAGGGAGTGAGGTTTGCAGGGAAGAGGAATGTGGGGTCCTTGGTGCTCTCTGCGATTGGCAGTTTTCTTGCAGACATTTCATTACTCAACTAGGTTATATCAATCTTGTTGGGCAATGAAACATCTGCCTGAAAACAACTAAGCACAGAGCTACTGTATATGAACAGGGAGCAAGCCAGACTCAGTAGCACAGTGAAGATGTTATCTAGTTGGGTCACAAAATGTCTGCAAGAAAACATCCTAGCTCTGCGCTACTGTGCATAATAAACAGGAAGCAAGTCACACCCGCTAGCACTGATGATGTTGCCTGGTTGGGTCATGAAATGTTTGCATGAAAACCACCAAGCTCAGAGCACCAAGGACCCCACAGGTCAACGCTGAGCTAGAAATGTTCTCCCCTATCAGTCGTTCCTCTCCCGTTTTGCCCCTCCGTCTCACCTGTATCTCCCTGTTGCTTCCTCTAGCGTAGTGATGGACCCTATGCCCTCATCCTGGTTCCAACCAGAGAGGTGAGTTTATTTACCCACTTTCCTAGGTTAATTTTGATCTTGATTTGCTGATTTCGCATCCAGCCATGCCTGGATACCTTTGAATATCTCAGAGGTATTTTTTTTTTTATAAATAACATAGAATCGCTGCTTAAAATCAACCTGATTGGTAGTCCTGCAGTTCGGCTGGATTCGATCACTTCTCCTCCCCTGCAACTGGGGATCATTCCCATCATCCTCAGCCAGAAAGCTCGCAGGGGATGATGGGTGCTAACCCAAGACCTCGAATGCCAGAATTGGGCAAGGTTGATACAACCTCTCCAGAGCAAACCCTGTGTGTTTTTAACAACAGACAGCTAGAGTCGTGGCAAAAACTCATATTTGGGGGATTGAATAGTTAAAGGCAGTGTAATGTTGCGAATGCTGCAAATAAGTCCTATTTTTCTTCTTCTTATTTATAGCTCGTTCTACAGAGTTTTGAAACCCTCCAGAAGCTCTTAAAGGTAAGCATGGATTGAAAAGAGATGGAAGCCATAATTAACGTCAGTTTATTGTCTCGGGCTTCTCTTTGTCAATCCCTGTGGAGAGAAAGATTTTATTTCAGAGTTGGGTCTTGAGGTGGAGGAGAGAATTTGTATCTAAACCAAAAAACACCTGTTTAGGTAAACGGTGATCATTTTTGGAGGTAATGTTTGCGGGGCCTTCGTCTTCCTCTCTGTTGGAGGCCTTAGGTGCATTTATGAGGCAAGGCGCCATTTTGAGCCTGGTTGGAATGTGGAGACCGCCTGGACTCAAAATGGGGGCTCCGTTGGATGTGGCCCCCAGCCAGATGTTTCTGCCAGAGAAAACGAAAACAAAACAACAATGGATACTAAATAGGCTTAATTGCTCCTTTAAAGCTTTAACATTTCACCGTCTCCGTTTCCTGCACTTTTTAGCCATTTACCTGGATTGTGCCGGGAGTCTTGATGGGGGGTGAAAAGAAGAAATCCGAAAAGGCCAGGTAAGAGCTGCGGGAAGCAACTCAAGCGGAAGGGGCCTTCCCTAGTTTTCTGGAAAGTAAAACCTCCTTTCTCTCTCTTCCCTCCTTTCCTTCCTTCCTTCCTTCCCTCCCTCCTCATTCCTTCTCTCTCTCTCTCTCTCTCTCTCTCTCTCTCTCTCTCCCTCTCCCTCTCCCTTCCCTCCTTCCCCTTTTATCTTCTTCGTTCCTTCCCTTTTAATCTCCTTCCTTCTTTCCTTCCTTCCTTTTATCTTCTTGTTTTCCTTTCCTGTTAATCTCCTTCCTTCTCTTTCCTGTTGCCTTCCCTCCATTCATCCATGCACCCATCCCATTCCTATCTTCCTTCCTATCTCCTTCCTTCCATCCATCTCCTTCCCTCCCTCCCTCTCCTTTTATCTTCTTTCATGTCTTCCCTTTTTAATCTATCTCCTTCCTTCCTTTCTTCAGATTACGCAAAGGAATAAATATCCTCGTGGCAACTCCCGGACGGCTGGTGGATCACATCAAATCTACCCAGTGCATTCACTTCCGCTGTATCCGGTGGCTGATTCTGGATGAAGCTGACAGGTAGGAACATCCTGGATATTTGTGTGAGGACGGTCACTTTTTTCACCGCCGTCGTAAATTTGGACGGTCACTAAAATGAGCAGTTGTAAGTCAAGGACTACCTGAAGTTGGTGAGTGCTTGCAGGTGGGTATACATGTGTTGTTATGCCTGTCTTTCTGTCCATATCAAGAAAAAAGAAATAAGAGAGAGATAAAGGAAATCTACTAAGCTTTAGAGGACTAAACGTTGAAAGTTGAAAAATTGTGTGTTTCAAGATTTTAATCCTTTTAATGGAAAGGAAAATTAAGTAAAAGACAACATGGGCAAATCAAGTCTGTATAAATTTTTTTTTTTTGTCTTCCAAAATGGTTCATTGTACTCAATAAACACCGTGAGGCCTAAGGTTCTCGTTTCTGTCTTTTTTTTCCTCCCAGAATATTGGATCTCGGCTTTGAAAAGGCCGTGGCTGCCATATTGAATGCCGTCAACGCAGCCAGCCCAAAACGGCAAAATGTTCTTTTGTCAGCCACACTTTCTGAAGGTGAGTGTTATCCTAACAGAATAACTAGAGTTGGGAGGGACCTTGATTTTGTTGGGTTAGGAGGAGTTGTTGGAGATTTTATTGCTTTTTATGCTATAAGTTGCCCCGAGATGGGTGGCAGATAAATTCAATGAATAAAATGAAGAATTGATTGGACCTCCAATCCAGGTTGTTCCTGGGAGAGTTTTTCTCCAGCCAGAAGGTAACCTGGACATTGGGGGCAAAGTTAGAGATAATTAAGGGACTCTTTCTTCTTGCTTATCTGACTGTGTTGCCTTTGTGCCACGTCCCTTTGGGTCATCCCAGAAAAGGCGTTGAATTTCAGCTCCCTTTGGTGCAGTGGAATAAGATAACAGCATCAAACCTCAACTTCTGACTTTTTACATAATATTATAAAGTAGCCGTTTCTATAATAACGAACCTATTCATCGGTAAAAACCAAAATCGAAGTTTCACTCCCCCCCACCTCAGGCACAAAGTCCAGAAGCGGTTTCCGATTAAACGCAAAAGTAATGTTGGAAGCAATCCATTTTGCCACCTCTGCTTGTTATATATTTCTTCTTTTTCCCCCGCCGATGGGCCACAGGAGTATCACGGTTAGCCCATATTAGCTTGCAAGACCCCGCCGGCATCACGGTGGCCTCAGAACCCCCGGGGGGTTCAAATACACCGCGGGAAAACGACTCTCTCTGGGAGGATGTGGGCATTCTTCCCGCCAAGGAGGAACAGCAGAGCAGTTTCGCTGTGCCCGAAAAACTCCGCCAAAACGTGGTCATGGTTCCCAGCAAGCTAAGGCTGGTGACGTTGGCGGCTTTCATTTTTGGGAAGTTCAAGGTAAGAGATTTGAGAAGGAGTGATACGATCAGGAAACTTGGAATTTTTGTACTCTCTGACTTGGATAGAAATGTTTCGTCTGTTTCTTTGTTTGGTGAATTTGGGTATAAGCTCAGCTCCCGAAGGCAAAACATGTTTTCAGTCCAAAATGTCCAGGCAACATTCGGAAGCAGACCGACATGCTCCCAATTCGCTGAACTAGTGGTTCTCAAGTTACAACCGTATATTTACTGCCTGTCCAAAGTTACAACGGTACAGAAAGAAAGGACTTATGACAGGTCCTTGCCCTTACAACCATCGTCTGTGGAGATCCTCCAAGTCATGGCTGTGGCAAAGGTGCTTTTCCCAAAAGACAATGGGACTTTCTTGGTGGTGCGGGGGGCGTGTTGTTTGAAAAGGTTTCGCTTCTCACCCAAGAGGCTTCTTCAGTTCTAACTGAAGAAGTTCCTAGTGCTAGAACTGAAGGAGCTGGATTCTCTAAATGACTGTTACGACTGTTGCAGACCAATTAAACTGCCTTTGCGTCAGAATCTTCTCAACTAACAGCACTGGCTTAGAGTTAGAGAAGGCTCAACGGAATTCAAGGCAGATTGGATTTCGTTTGCTTGCAGCGACGTAGAGATTCTAGGCTGGTGCCTCTTTTGATTCCGCCCCCCCGCCACAAGTTCTGCCACCACCCCTTCGCTTAACACACTAACCTGCCATGTCGTCCCTCTCTCTCTTCAGTTCGAAAAACGCCACAAGATGATTGTTTTCTTCTCGACTCGCGAGCAAGTGGAGTTTCACTACGTCCTCTTCCAAAAAGTGTTGTGCGCGGAGTCTGGGGCGGAAGGATCAGGGTTAGCGCCAGCACCTCTTTCTCGAACTTTGATCTTTGCACGTTTGCATGGTGACATGAAACAAGAGGTGAGTTCAGATCTTTCCTATAAACTGCCTCCCTCCCCCCGTTTTTTTTTTTAAACTTCTAGTGAAAAAACTTTTCCACAATTCGTACATAGCAACGTTGAAATCTCTGCATTGAGGGGTATTTTCTCCCTTCTTTGGAAGCTTCCAAAAGCTAAAAAAATAATAAACACAGGCAGTCCTCGGCATACAACGGTTCATTTAGCGACCGTTAGAAGTTAGAACAGCCCTGAGAAAGGTGATTTATGAACATTTTTCACGCGATGGTTGCAGCGTCCCCCTGCCCACCTGCTCAAAATCAGAACGATTGGCAACAGACTCCTATTCGAATGATTTTTGCAACCTAAGCAAACTCATAATGGAAAACCCAGATTCATTTAACAATCTTCGGTCAAGAAAGGTTGTAAGACGAGGCAAAACTCACTCGACAACTGTCTTGCGTAGCAACAAAAATCTGGGGCTCCATTGCAGTCGTAAGTCGAGGACTACCTCTAGTTAAGATGACCTTCAATCTTGGCTAGCTCTCCTTCTCTTTCTCACTCCCTTTTTGAAACCTCCCAACTTTGGGCAAACTACAGAATGACTTCAAAAGGTGGTGCCTGTTCGCAAAATGTGAGTTTCTGGTTTTTCATAATCTTCCAAGAAATAATAGCCAGACAGAGGACGTCGGCTCTGCCAAACACCCTTAAAAAAAATGTAAATAATTCAAGGTTTAATTCATTCGTTCGTGCGCATGCTTCCATAACTGCAGCATAAGCCCAAAGTACATCTTTGGCTCCCGAAATTTGCCATCTAAACAAGTAAAAATCAGTTAAAAACCAGCAGTCAAAAAGGGCCTTGCGTTTTTTTTGGCACAATATTTTCTTCTTTCTGTTAGAAAAATTAGCTGAAAATTAAAAGGGTTGGTGATGTCTTTTTTTTTTTCTTTAATCTTCTTAAGGATTTAGTTCGACTTGCCCGATCTGGCGAGACTTTGTTCGTGTTTTCTCCTTTTCTCGCAGGAGAGATCGTCCGTGTTCCAGGCTTTCCTGCAATCGAGCACTGGGGTGTTGCTGTGCACGGTGAGCTGCCAAATCATAATGTGTTCAGTGCCTAAAGTAACGTATCTCGGTTCGCCAGGGAAGGATAGCAAATTAATTCAGACGATGATATAGCTGAACGTCAGGAGAAGGCAAGCAGAATCATGATTAACCTGGTTACGATGGAGGATTTCTAAACAGAACCAAGCGATCTGTTTTAATTGTCTGTCTGTCTGTCTGTCTATCATCCATTCATCCATCCATAGATCCATATCTTCTAGTACTCTCTCTGTCTCTCTATCCATCCCTTCGTCCATCTATCCGTCCATCTATCCATGTCTTCCAGCACTCTCTCCATCCATCCATCCATCTATCCATCCATTCATCTACCTATGTGTTTATCTGTCTGCCTGCCTGTCTAACTTCCTCTCTATCTGCCTGCCTTCCTCTCTATTTATCTACTTATTTATCTACCTACATACCTACCTCTCTCTCTGCCTGTCTACCTGCCTGCCTATTTACCTACCTACCTCTATGTCTGCCTACTTCTGTCTATCTACCTACCTACCGCTCTGTCTTATTTACCTACCTACCTCTATATCTCTCTACCTATCTCTCTCTCTCCCTACCTACCTACCTACCTCTCTCTTTACCTACCTACTAATCTACCTACCTTCCTCTCTATCTTATTTACCTTCCTATCTCTCTATTTACCTGCCTACGTATCTGCCTACCTACCTGCCCCTCTCTCTGCCTGCCTGCCTACCCGCCTTGTCATCCAACAAGTTCACCTTTCCTAAGGAGCTGCGGCTGCTGCTTCTGCCCTTCAGTGCTGGAAAGCGCCTGTCCCTTCCCTCTGCCCGTTGACTCCATCACGCTAACGCGTCTTGCCAGTTTTCTGGCGGGCACAGGCGGCCGTTCTGTCCCCCCCTCCTTTCCTGACAGCTTGGGAGGGGAGGGGCTGCCGCCTTCCCCTTCCCTTCCGCCGATGACGCAGCCCCAATCTGTCGCCTGGCTGCTGGTTGGGGGCGTCTTCCCCGCTGACGGCTTTCCATGCTTGGCCTTAACGACTCTTGGCAGGTGGGGGGGGGAGAGAGAGATGGGGGGGGCCTCCCACGTCCGGTTTGGACCCCTCTCACCCCCCCTTCCCCCGTTTTGCTAAGGTGCACTTTGGGGAAGAGGAATGAATCATCTGTATCCGACTGACAAGCTGGCATCGGAACGAAGGCCCTTCCATCTGGACCTCAAAGCTTCACGTCGGCAGCCAGTTGTCAAGGCTGCGTTGCCCAGGCTGGCTTGTCAGTGTCGTCTTTGCCCCCAAGATTTTTGTGGCAGGCCTAGCGTGGCCGCCTGGATCTAATTGGGGAGCTTTTGCTGGTCTTTAAAGGGATCGCGGCCAAGGGGGTCCTGACCGCTTGCCCCAAAAACTCTCTAACGGTGCGAGATCTATCCGAAAGCGCCTTTCTATCCGGCCTCAGCCAATCAGGAGCTCTCGTTCCCAGGCTAGGCATGGAATAGGAGGTCTTTATACTCCTCTTTGGCCAATCAGCAGGCTGCCTTGACATGGAGTCCCCCAACCAGGTTACTGCTCTCTGCTGTCCCCCTAGAAGGGGCCGCTGACCATTGTCCTGCATTGGGGGGGGGGCTATTAAGTCTCTTGGACTACAATTCCAGTCTCTCCTTACCTACCTGAAGGTCAATGGGAGTTGTAATCCAACTTTTAGAAGATGCATTTTCTTGGGTCCTCTGCCATGCCGGCCTCCCTATTTTAATTGGTTTATCCGTTGGAATATCAAGTTAGTAGACTTGTTTAGCAACTTCCGGGCATGGAAAAGGCTTCAGTTATGGAATTATTCTTCCTGTGGGCCAGGAGAATGAAGCCTCAGTCTTGGCTTGCTATAAATATCAGGGGGGGGGGGGAAGGTTTTTGGGGTCTAGATAAAGCCAATTTGGTCTAAAAGTTAAGGCATCCGGCTAGAAAGCAGGAGACTGTGAATTCTAGTCCAGACTTATGAAAGCCAGCTAGGCGACTTGGGGCCAATCACCAGGAGATGGTGAGTTCTAGTCCCGCCGTAGACACGAAAGACGAGTGGGTGACTTTACACCAATCCGCCTCTCTCAGCCCCGATATACCTTACAGGGCTGTTGTGGGGGAAAATTGGAGGCGGAGAAAGCGACAGGTTTGTTCTTCTCCTAATTTATAAAAAAAGTAATAAAAAAGACTGGGCGCAGATGAATAAATGCGAGTCTTAAATGCGAGAATCGGTTGTCGAGCATCCGACCGTGGCCACGGGGATGCCGCGAACGGCCGTTAAGGGTGAAAAACGGCTGCGAGTCAGCCTTTTTTTTTCTTTTTTTTTTTTTGAGTGCCCCGGGGCGAACCCCTTGCGAAACTCTCGCCGTGGGTCTGGGAGGGAAGGGGTGTGTGGTCGCGTCTTGCGGGAATGCAGCAGGAGGCGTGCGCAATTCGACAAGCTGCGGGCCCGGGAGCTGACGGTGTCAGGAGGCAGCTGGCCTTAATTGCACCAGCCAGAGTGGTGGTGGGGAAATAACCCAGAAAGACCCCACAGTGGTGGAAATGCCGTAATGAGTGCTAATATATTTGCATTCTCATTATGCCTTTGCGTGGTGTTCTGCCTTGATCTGCTTAAACTAATAACCCGTTTTGGCAGGGCGCGGGATTCGACACAGCCGCAAGTTGTGCCAAGCGCTGCTGGCTGGAGTAAAGCCTTCCTCGTCTCTGTCTCCCTCCCCCCCCCCTCAATCCGCTCGTTGAATTGGAACCCAGCATCTTGGCATAACGTCGCCTAATAAGCTGAAGTGCCTGGTCCAATCCAATCCCCACCACCTCGGCTCTCGTTTTTGGCAGAGCAGAAGGGAACTGGAGGAAGGAGTGGAGATGATGAAGTGGATGAGGACTGTTAGAGTGGGAAGGCGGGGGGGGGGAGGGGAGGAAAGGAGGGAGGGAGGAAGAAGGAAGGAGGGAAGAAAGGAAAGAAGTGATTAAGGGAGGGAGGGAAGGAAAGAAGAGAGGGTGGGAGGAAGAAGGAAAGAGGGAAGGGAGGGAGGAAAGGAAGGGGAAGGAGGAAAGGGATGAAGAGAAGGAGGAAAGGAAAGAAAGGAGGAAGGGAGGGAGAAGGAGGGAAAAAGGAAAGAAGGCAAGGCAGGGGAATTAGAAAGGAAAGTAAGTAAGAAAGCAAAAGACGAGAAAAGAGAAGTGGAAGGGAGGAAAGAAAGCAAGACAGAAGAAAAAAAAACAGGAGAAGAAAGGAAAAATACATTATTTTCTTTTGGTTATTGTATAGGAAGTTGTACAAGTGCCCGTTGAAAAGTCCCCCCACCCCACAAGGCTCCCTCCCAAATTTACTGGGCCCACCCAAAGTCCCTACTACTAAAGGGAGCTGGGGTCAACAACATGAGCCCTTTTTTTACATTTGGGGGCAATTGGAGGGCAGTTTCCCAAAAATAAGATTAGTGTGTAAGCCATTTTGCTTCTTAAAATGCCAGAATATATTCCTAAAACAGTCTCTCTCCCTCTCCATCCCTGCCTCCCTCCCTCTCTGTTTTCTAAACCAACGGCCTTTAGAATCATAAAAAAGAAAGAAGTCTCACTTTATTAAGCCAACAACAAGAACTTTCTGGTTGTTTTTCTAACTAGGATGTCGCTGCTCGTGGGTTAGATCTGCCCCAAGTCACCTGGATTGTGCAGGTGAGCAACCTTCTTTTGCCCCGATGTGGATTCTTCAATTTTTTTTTAATTTTACATAATCTATTTTTCCTTATGGGTTTTAATTACAGTAGTAACATTGAATATGAGCCAGGACAAAGCTTAGATATCTTGCTACGGTGGCTGAGTGGATTACCATGGTTGTTAAGTTAGGAACACGGTCATTAAGCGAATCCGGCTTTGCCTGTCAGAAGGTCACCAAAGGGGATCGATCGCATGGCTCCCCTGGGACGCCGCAACCGTCATAAATACAAGTCAGCTTGCCAAATGTTTGAATTTCGATTCCATGACCCTGGGGGATGCCGTAAACGGTCGTAAGTGTGAAAAACAGTCGTAAAAGGATCTTGGTAGGCCTTAGCCGTGGCAAGACGGCTTGCGATCCTCCATTTGTTTCCACGTCCCTTTATTTTACTTCCCTCCGAAAGGTGGGAGTTTTATTTTGGGAGTTTTATTTTGGAAAACGATCTCGCGGAGGCTCTAATTTAATCACTCGGGTGATGCGTTCGTTCATTCCCCCACTTAAGCTCACGTGCCGTTGTTTCTTTTTTCTTTCCTTTCTTTTCTTTTCCTTTTCCCCTTTCCCCGGGAAGTATAATCCAGCAGCTTCGCTCGCTGACTACGTCCACCGAATTGGGAGAACGGCTCGGATTGGCAGCCCTGGAAACAGCCTGCTCATCCTTTCGCCTTCGGAGGCCGAATATGTCAGCTTTCTGGCTTCCTACAAGATTAAGTGAGTCACACAAGCACCTTCTCCTCTGTCCCCCCTCTTTCCTTCCCCCCCTTTTTTGCCCCCCCAGTGTCAAAATCAGCGGGAAACTTTCACTAATATAACAGCTGCAGCTCCACACCTCTTGTTTGGTCGGGGCGAGAATAAATCCAGGATAAATCTAAAGCTAGGTGAGAATTTCAGCGTGATTTTTTTAAAAAGAGAAAAAAAATACACTTTTAAGTTTCATATCCTTGCAAATTGCAGGTGTACAAGCAGAAACAGCCTGGAATATTAGAAGTTTTTTTTTCTTTTTGTAAACTAAAAGCAGAACAATGATGTTGTATTAGGTTAATATTTGGAGGGGGGCTTTATTTATTAGGTTTTATTTAAAAAATCAGACCTTTATTTATTTATAAATAACTCAGGGGGACTGTCACGTTCCTTCTTCCTTCTGTTTTGTCCACAACAACGAAGCTGTGAGGTGGATCGGGCTGAGCGATCCGAGGGACTGACGCAAAGTCACTGAACTGACTTTCATGCCTAAGGCAGGACTAGAACTCACCATCACCTGGTGATTGGCCCAAAGTCAGCCAGTCAGCTTTCAACACTGGAGAGCAAGCCACTGTATACAAAAGAAGGAGCCAACCCCACTCCTTTCCTACACTGATGACGTTACCTAGTCAGGTAATGAAACGTCTAGAGTTCCAAGAACCCCAAAGTTCAGCCCTGAGCCTATCACTATTCCATACCTATAGGTGCCTAAATATTTACCACCCAATAAAAACCTCTTCCTTGAATCATCCTGCTTCTCCTCTCCTTAAGCGTTGCCACCAAAGGAATTTGCCGGCTGTTTCATCGCAGCGTCTTAAAACACAGCCAAAGGGGCTACGAAACTCCACTTCGCAAACCCTTTCAGCTTCCCAGGATAGATTTCTTTCTCTTTCTTTTTTCTTTTGAGAGGCGCGCGAGCCATCTGCAAAATTAGCTTATATATCTGTGTGCCTGTACACGCAGGCAGTCAGGGGGACAGCGAATATACGGATATAATGGATGGCAGATCAGATCCGGAGAGACAGTTTCACGCCTGGGGCACGGCATGGCATCAAATCTAATTGCCCTTTCTGTTCGTAAATGGAGCCGCGTGGAAATTTATCCTGACAAATTCAGTGTGGCAAACGAGGCAGAAAGAACGACCCATGTGCTGGTCGTTTGTGACACACAGGTCTGGTTTGTTTTGGGGTTGGGGTTTTTTTTGCTTTTTTTAAAAAAAATCATTGATCACTTTCTTTGTTTCCTGTCTCTTTAATGGGCCAAGTGGAACTAACAAGTGGGAACCAGCAGAGATATTCATGGCAATTTTGAGCACTTTTCAAGAGCTGGTCGTTTCTCTCTCTCTCTCTCTCTCTCTCTCTCTCTCTCTTGTTACTTTGTCGTTCTTAGGAGTTCCGGGCAGTTGAGCATGACGAAAACACCGTCCACCCGGATGGTCGCTATTTCGTCTTTGTGGGTCAAAATTTTTCCTAGGAAGCGATTGTCCCTTTTATTTGCTTCAAGTCTTATTTCTTTTTTTTGACTTTTGGGATAACCTGGAAAGCCTCCCATAATGGCTTGCGGTGTGTGGGAAAGTTGTACAACTCTAAAAGGGAAGAGAAGAGGAAGAATGTCAACTCATAAAACATTTTGTATACACGTTTTATAGTTGACAAGAGAACTATAGGTAGTTTCAAAGAGCAGATGGCAGTGTGGAATCGAAAGTACATTCCATTCGTATTTTCTTCAAAGACTGATTAGATGACTGAAGCTTCTCTTGTCCAAAAATCTAATTGGAGAGCATGATTGATGACTCTTGGCTATGGACGTGTTTTGTTGGATGATACACCCAAAGGGGTGGGGGTGGGGAAAGCAGGATCAAGGGTGACAGTGAATTACGTATCTCAGAGTTGGCTGCTCCCAAGCTAATGCCAGAATGCTACCTAAATGAACTGCCTTCGGGGAAGGAAAAAAGTGGTGTGTGTGTTTAACATTTTAATACCCCACATTTTTTTTACATTTTTTTTGTTTGGGTTTTGTGTGTATGTGTCTGTGTGTCTGTGAGTCCTTTGGTGGGTGTGATGGATATTTCTTCTGCGGCGCTCACAAAGAAGAAATGCACGAAGGAAAAAAATATCAAAGGAGCATGCCGACACCAACGTTTGTGTGCGCCTGTTGTTTCTGCATGTTTTCGTACCCTTCTCTCTCTCTCTCTCTTGGTACTTTTCCGTGAGACTTAGAAGTGTCATGAACCGCCGAGACAGTTGCAAAGTGACAGCGTTGTTGTCACCCAAATAATTCCAGTTTGTTGTTCTGCGAGGGCTTTATCACAAGAGAGAGAATGCCCATTCAAGGCCCACATCGCCTCGGGGCATGTGCGACCCCCGTGCCCACCACCCAAGTTTCCCGATCTTCGCCCTGCTGTGTGAATGAAGTGGGCTGATCTGATCTGTTGCCCACAGACTGGAAAATAGGAGACGTGTTGTGGGTGAGGACGGGCGAACTCTCCTGTTGGATCAATGATGAGAGGCTGGATCACCCAGGCAAACATTTCTGGGAGGGCATTAAAAAACAGAAGTGAAACATGCAGAGGTCAGAGTTATAGCTAAGAAACACCAATGTTGTCCACTTGGCTTTGCCATAGATGAGAAGCAGACCAGAAGGGACGATGGTATTTCCTGTTTAAATCCCATTCCAATAGACCAGGAGTTGGCAACCTTTGGCTCTGGAGCCGCATGTGGCTCTTTCGTCCCTTTGCTGAGGCTCCCTGTCGCCAGTCAGCGCCACAATTTTGAGTTTCCAGTTAAGCAAGGGAGGGAAGCACGGGGCGCCAGGAGGAGACTATGGCAAAGGGTGGGTTTATTTTTATTTTATTTTTTTTTCCTTTTCTAATTCCAGCATCTCAGAGATGAAAATGGAACAGATTTTGTCAAACTTAATGAAAGATGACCGCTTCAAAGGAAACCTGGAGAGATCTAAGGTCGGTTTTTCTCAGAGACGCGGTTTCTTTCTCCGTCTGATTTCGTTCCAATTTCCTCTTCTTTTTTTTTAATTTGCAAGAGCAAAAGACTAGTTTGTGAGTTTTTGCCTAATTTTATGACCTCCCCCCCCTCGGCGATTTTCAGCCCGTTTGAAGCCATTTTCCCTTTCCGGAGGTTCGAGGGAAGCCTCTGGAGCCTCTGCAGACTGAAAACGGGCCCGTTTTTTCGGCCTCCCGAGGCTGCAGAGGCTTCCCTTGAACCTCCAGGAGGGCGAAAACAGCCTCCAATGGGCCGAAAATCAACCGGGAGGCGCAGGCATGCGCAGTGCAGGTAAGTTTGACTGGGGCTCGCGTGCCCACGCAAATGGCTCTGCCATAGGTTCACCATCATGGCCTTAGGCCAAGGGTCTTCCGAGACTTGTGGGCTTCAACGCCCAGAATTCCTGAGCTAACCTGACTGGAGGAGGAGGAATTCTGGGAGTTGGAAGCCCACAAGTCTTAAAGCTGTCAAGTTTGGAGACCCCCTTAAGCCATGCGAGGGAGGGAGGGGCAGAGGAAAGGAGAAGCGAGATCTCAAGGTGCTGAGAGCCTCTTTCATTAGACGGGCCTCCAGGTGTGAAGCTGAAAAGGTGGTCAGAAGGTTTTCTCACCTTCGGCCCCCGTTACTCGGATAGGAAGGCGCGGAGGAGGGCTGGTGGAAACGGCCGGCCGTTGGGTGGCCTTTCCTGGTTTGAGCTTTGCGGTGGGGATCCTGATGAAAAAAGGTAGGATGCAGAAGTGAAAAAGGTCCGGTGGGTTTTGCACCCGCCTCCTTTGTCTTTTTATATCCATCCTTCCTTCCTTTTCTTCCTCCCTTCTCTTTTCTTCCTTTTCTTTCTCCCTTCTCTTTTCTTCCTTCCTTCTTTCCTTTTCTTTCTCCCTTTCCTCCCTCCCTTTTTTCTTTCCTTTCCTTTCCTTTCTTCCTTTCCCTCCCTCCCTTCCTTCCTTCTTTCTCTCTTTCTCATTCTCTCTCTCTCTCCTTCCTGGAGAAAGGAAGAAGCGATACTCATTTTGAAGCCTAAAAGATAAGGAACTCGGGCCTAGGAGAAAGCGGATAGTGAGAAGTCCTTTGTAATATATTGCCATATTATTACTAAATCCCCAGACAGACTTGGCATAGCTCAAGTCACCTGTCACTTAAATTTGAGGTCCCTTTAATTTTCTCCCGGAATTTGCGCTGGGCTGTCTTTAAATTAAGTCCTTTATTGGAAGCCTGAAATCTTCCCTTGCTTCCCTGGCGCTGGCGTCTATTCTGAGCTCGGTTGCAGAAAAGTATACAATAACCATCAGTGGGATTTGGAGAGGTGTGAGGCTGTGTTTATTTAACACTCGGGGGGGGATTTTTCGAGTTTATTTGGTCCTTACTGCCCGCTTCCAATAATGCTTTGACAACCGGTCTGCCCTTCTCATTAATTTTAAACAGTTAAAACACGGGGAGAAGGAGGGGCGGGATTGGGGGGGAAAAGTTTTTCATTATTAAAGTGCTTTACTTTTTAATAACAGAGGATTCTGGACGTCAGGGGGAAAGGGCAGCTTCGCTTAATTTCACATTCATATTAAAAAAAAAAAGAACACACACGCACACACGCCCGCACGCACACCGGGAAGGTAGATGACACTGTGTGCAACCCAACAGGGCTTGAAAAATGAAAAAAAGAAAAGAAAAATAAGAGAAAAGCTGGATTGACGAATGCCGGGAGCCTCCGGGAGCAAGAAAGGAGGGGGAAAACGACTGAGTATTTTGCCAAGACCGGTTTTAAAAACCAGTTTTTAAATATGATTTGTACATCACTTTTCTTTTTAAAAAAAATAATAATGCAGAAAGTCTACGCAAATCTATATTGGGGTGACATTTTACCTTCCTTACTTCTCCTGTGGACCATTTTTCTTCCCCCCCACCGGCCCCCCAAGGAAATCAAAGGGACATTTTTTTTGGTGCTATCACAACAACCTGACAGAGCAGTCCAGGTGTAAGGAAGAAGAAGAAAAAAAAAAAACAGAGAAATTGTTTGGTTTGGGCTTGGCGTCATATGGGGATCCATCCTGGTTTTACTGTTTGTAAAGGTGTCTAAAGTCAGCCTGCAATATCCTGGTCCACAAATCAGGATTCACGCCGACTTTAAAGAGGGTTACGGTCTGGATTGAGCTACTTGTGGGTTTTTGCAACACTGAACCGAGTGACCTAGGATCATTTTTCATTCTTAACGACCGTTGCAGCCTTCCCGTGGTCACCTGGGGATTAAAATTCGGACATTTGTCTACTGATTCTTACTTATGACAGCTGCAGTATATGTTTTGTTTAATAGTCTAATCATTACACACCATTAAACTATAAATAGTATCTGTTTTAATAATCATAAAAAAAAAATTAGAATTGAACTGTGAATCAGATTTCTGCAGCTCCTGGAAAAACAAAGCAGAGATACCTTGCATTAGGAAATGAAGGGGATTTTAATCGTTACACTTGCCAAAGAGTTCTGTATTACTTTAAAGCCGGATAAATTGAAGGAGTCGTTCCTGTTGCTATCTTAATTGCTTTGTTTTCACCGCTTTGGATAAGTATTCCTGTATTTGGATACTTCTATTGCTAGTGTGCCTAACAGGCGTAACGTAGGTTAAGTGGCAGAGTTTTCTCTCTTGCTTTTTGACTGTGCTTAAAAGTTTTCCCGCTTCTTCCCTGTTTAGAAGAGCCAGCACGGAGATGTCCAGGAAATACACCGAAGGGCCACCGTCATGCAGACCGAATTTGAGGATTTCGTCCACTCCAGTGCTAAAACCATCCGATGGGCCAAAAAAGGTCAGGAATTTCCTTCCCTAACTCTCCGCGTTTAAGGGGGACGAGAGGAACTTTAATTTTCTTTTCTTTTTTTTCTTAGTACAAAGCATGCCAGATAGTCCTTAACTTATTTCCATTTGTTTGGCAACTGTGATAAAAATAAAAAACAACAACTGGAGACAGTGAACAAGAGCTTTATTATTAAGCTTTTGCAAAAGGGATTTCTGCTCATGGCAGAAGACATTTTCCCCAGGACGGCTGGGGTTTATATACAGGTTCAAGTATACAGTCTCTGCCCCTTTCCTGGGTTCACAATCTACCCAAGCTACGTAGCTCCCTACACCGCACCCATATTATTGTAGCATACCACCTGTTTCCTTATCCTTGGAAACTACCCTCATTCTCATGGCTTCCTGTTATGGCTCTGTTATGACCTTCTGTAATACAGTAGATCATTAACCTTTTCCTTTCGGGTAATGATAACCTAGCACCTCGTTCTCATCTCCTTATGCCAAAAAATACAGACTTGCCATTACTTTAGGACATAAACAAGTTACAAAAACAGTACCTGTTTATTAGATAGAGTTATATAACTGTCCAATAATCATTTCACAGTTCATATATCAGATAAGCATGGACTCTCTTCTGTTCTTCATTTTCTCAGGCGTAACTCACAATATGTAATTTTCACATATAACAGCAACTGTTTATAGTTACAACAGTGCTGGGAAAAGTGGCTTACGACCATTGCAACATCCCCGTGATCAAAATTCGGCCGTTTGGCAGCTGACTCATGTTTGTGACGGTTGCAGCCTCCCGACGTCACATTCCCCCTTTTGCGACCCTCTGACATTAACCCGTGTTACTGACTCCACCACTGCAGTGATTCACTTAACAACTGGTAGGTAGTCCTCGACTTACCGACCACAGCTGATCCCGAAATTTCTTCATTTGAAATATGCTTATTTTCCTTTATCATAAAAGGTGAAATACAAAACAAAAAACAAACATACAAAAAAAAAAATCTGTCCAGCACTTAAAACAACATCAAAAAAATGGTGTACAAAAAAAAGAGAGGGAGAAAAAAGAGATGAATTTAACATAAAACTTGCGACCACAATTCAGCCCAAAATTTCCATTGCTAAGTGAGACTGTTGTTCAATTAGTTTTGCTCCATTCTGCGACCTCCTTTGCCACCGTTGTTAAGTGAATCCCTGCAGTTGTTAAATTAGTGCCATTGTCGTTAAGTGAATCCGGCTTTTCTCCCTTGGTTTTACTTGTCGGAAGGTTGCAAAAGGAGATCCCGTGACCCCGCCAGGAGACTGCCGCCGTCATAAAGATGAGTTATTTGTCAAGCACTTGAATTTTGATCGCGGAAATATGGGGGGATCCTGCAACGGTCGTTCAGTGTGAAAGACGGTGATAAGTCGCCCTTTTCAGCGTTGGACACTAAACAAATGGTTGTAAGTCGAGAATTAGCTCAAGTAGAATTACTGGGCAGGTGTGCTGCCGCCGGCCTCTGAGATGCGTCAGACGCTTTCAGCCTGTGAAATAACTCGCTCCAAAACCCAAAAGGGTTGGAACTTCCGGCTCCCGAGTTTATATGGGCAACGCCAGGCAAGTTTTTGTGGCTCTAACAAAAAGAAGGGCGGTCTCACTGGAGACTTTCAAGAAGAGATTGGACTGCCATTTGTCAGAAATGGTGTAGGGTCTCCCGCTTGGGCGGGGGGTTGGACTGGATGACCTATAAGGTCCCTTCCAACTCTGATTATCTGTATCTGAGTGGCGTCTTTAAGCGGAACGGAAGCGTTGGGTGTCTCTGGCCAGAGCGGCTGTTTCCAGCACAAGAGTTCAGTCCCGGCTTCTCCACGGCCCATATTGGCGTCGGCAGGTTCTGCCGCGAGGCTCCCATAAAACCCAGACGGGACGTGCTCCCCCGCCCCCCCCTCCCCCGCCAGCTTATCAGGACCTGCATGGCTGCTGTGGGGCAGGATAACGGCCAAACGTTTTCCGATGGGCCCTTCAAAGGCCTCCCGTCCTGTCCGTGCCTTTCTTCCTCCCTCCTGTTTTTATTTTTTATCATGATTATTATTATTATTCACAAAAAAACAACAGCGTCCACTGCAAACGAGATAACTATGCTGAGTTTCGTATCACAAATCGCTAGTCCAACACTTCCCAAGCATGATGATGATGATGATCATTATTATTATTATTATTATTATTTGCAAAGCTGCCCCCTCCCTCCTTCTCTTCCCTCGCCCCCCCCCGCCAGTTGCTCTTCCTCTCGTTGCACGCCGCCCCCCCCCTCCCATGCGCCCTTTCCAGCTGGCACCCACCAGCCACCCTTCTCCAGCCCAGCCAAGAGCGGTGAATAATTAACACAGCAGCTGGGCTCTGAGGTGGATGGCAGGGAATCAAACGGACACGGCGCCAAAGGCTCAGCCTGCCGGCGTTTCCTCGGCCTGTCCTTTCCCGAACCCCAGCCCCGAGGAGGGGAAGGGGGGCGGGGGGGGCTCTGGACCGAGTTGGGGTGGATGACCGGTTGTAGATCGGGGTCTCCTTGGCAGACTTTTTTAATCTGCGGCCGGTGAGATTTTTTGGGGTGGAGAAGGCACCGGAAGGGGAGAGGAGGAAAGAAAAAGAACGAGGGAGGAAAAGATGGGAAGGAAGGAAGGAGAAAGAGAAAGAAAAGATGGATAGCAAGAGGTTCTGAGGAAGGAGGGAGGGAAGGAAAGCGAGAAAGAGGAAGGAAGGAAGAGAAAGAAAAGATGGATAGAAAATGATTCGAAGGAAGGAAGGAAAGAGGATGAGAAAGAAAAGATGGATAGAAAATAATTCAGAGAGAAGGAGGGAAGGAAAGGAAAAGAAAGAGAGAGAGAGAAAGGAAGGAAGGATAGAAAACGATTCTAAGGAAAGAAGGAAGGGAAGAGAGAAAGAAAGAAAAGATGGATAGAAAAAGATTCAGAGGGAGGGAGGGAAGGAAGGAAAGAGAAAGAAAAGATGGATATAAGAAGATTCTAAGGAAAGAAAGATAGAACAAGATTCTGATGAAGAAGGAAGGAAGGAGAAAGAAAAGATAGAAAAAGATTGAGAAGGAAGAGAGGGGGAGAGAGAAAGAAAAGGTGGCTAGAAAAAGATTCTGAGGGAGGAAGGAAGGAAGGAAGGAAGCTTTTTTCTCCTAATCCCTGTGGACTAGAAAACTTGCCTTTTGTGCTCTCTCAGTGGGCTGTTTTTATAAACCCCGTCCTAAAATTTCAAACCCTTTTTCCTTGGATCAATATGGACTATAAACTTGCCACCGGAGGAACCGTTTCAGAGGCTTCGAGATGTCACTTGGCTCCCAATACCTGAAGTGGGCATCTTAAGACCCCGTGTTTTACCTCACAATTCCTTCTCCTCCTCTACCTACCCCCCCCTCCAAAAAAAATGGAGGCCGGGAAAGGAGAGAGGAGGGGGCTTCCCGCCCTTGGTTATTCCCTCACTGATCGGGAAATGGAGTTCGCTTTGCTTGGCAAACAGAGATTCCCCCAAGTTCTTCTGGAGCTGAGCCTGCTAAAATGACATTTTTATTACTGTTCGTAAACCACAATCTCCCGCCGCAGGGAGGTTTAGGCTTAAGCTCTGCACAAATAAACCGGTGTTCCGGCTCAGGAAGGAAGGAAGGGCGGAAAAGAGGGGTGTGGGGAGGGGCCGGCAGGAGGGGGGAGGGCAGCTGGGGTCAGCCTCAAGGGCTGGAGGGAGGGTGTCCGCCAAGGGGTCTCCCTCCGGCCCCTGGGATTTTCAGGCCCTTTTGAAGCCTCGGGGCTTCCATATTCCTCGGAGGGACGGAGGCAGTCCTGGTCTTCGGGCCACAGTGGAGCCCAAAACTTCCGTCACTAAGCAAGACCGTTGTTAAGCGAGTTTGGCTTCCCCATTGACTTGGCTTGTCACGTGGCGCACGCACACATACACATACACACACAGAGAGACACTGCAACCATCATAAATACATGGATTTGGTTGTCCAGTCTTTTTGGGGGAAGGAAGGAAAGGAAGGAAGGAAGGAAGGAAGGAAGGAAGGAAGGAATAGAGATATAGAGGAAAGAAAGAAAGAGATGGTTGGATGGTTGGATGGATGATAGGCAGGTAGGTAGGTAGGTAGGTAGGTAGATAGATAGATAGATAGATAGATGAAAGAAAGGGATGGATGATAGAGAAAGAGAGAAAAGGAAAAAGAAAGGGATGGATGGATTATAGAGGGGAGGGGGGAGGGAGAGAAAAAAGAAAGGAAGGAAGGAAAAAAGAGATAGAGATATAGAGATATAAAGAAAAGAAAGATGGTTGGATGGATGGATGATAGGTAGGGAAATGGGTAGGTAGGTAGATAGATAGATAGATATGATAGAAAACGTATGTTATGATTCTTGATTCTTAACGATTGTATCTTTTCTTTTATGTATACTGAGAGTATTTACACCCAAGACTTGTGTGTCCAGTCCCACTCGGCCAATAAAGTACTCAATTCAATTCAAAACGTTTTGCTTCTCATCCATGAGGCTTCCTCCGTTCTGACTGTCAGAACGGAGGAAGCTTCTTGGATGAGAAGCGAAACATCTTTAAGGAGACTTTTTTAAAAAAAACAACACACAACTTTTTAAGATTTAAGTCTTTTGACCTGGATGGTTTGACCATCTCCATAAGACCTTTGAGCGACTCTGGAGTGCCTTCATTGGCTCCTCTCGCCTTGCAGCCCTGCAGTCCTTCATTCGCTCCTACGCCACCTATCCTGCCAACCTCAAGCCCATCTTCCACATCCGGGCTCTGCATTTGGGTCACGTGGCCAAGAGTTTCGGCCTCCGCGATGCCCCCGGGAACCTTGGCGCTGTGGCTGGAGCCGCTCAGCAGGGGAAGAAGCAGAAAAGGTACAAAGACAGATAACTTCTTTCCTTTCCTTTCCTTTCCTTTCCTTTCCTTTCCTTTCCTTTCCTTTCCTTTCCTTTCCTTTCCTTTCCTTTCCTCTCCTCTCCTCTCCTCTCCTCTCCTCTCCTCTCCTCTCCTCTCCTTTCCTTTCCTTTTCCTTTTCCTTTTCCTTTGACCTATCTTATTTATTCAGTTTTTATATGCCGCTCAATTCGTGATCCGGTGACTCTGGCTGGCTGACCAGGGTTATAATATAAAACGATCTAAAACCCACGAAGAGATTTCCAATCACACACATACAACTCCCCCCCCCCCCCTCAAAGTTCCAAACCTTAAAATCCACGTGGACGCGATAAAAGAGTCAAGACAAATAAGTATTGGGAGGGATTTCTCTTCCCCGCCACCACCTTGTGCGGATTGGGAGACCCCAGGGTCCCACAAAGACATCCCCCAACCCTTAATCCAAACTCCCCCCCCCTTTTTTTTCCTTGACAGGGAGCAGAAACGGGCTGAATTTGAGCCAAATTAAGTGAGATGGGCTGTGTGTGTGTGTGTGTGTGTGTGTGTGTGTGTGTAGAGAGGGAGGGGAGGAATGTCTCTAAACATTGTCGTCTCTCCCTCTCCAGAACCTGCTAAGGACCCCCATGTTTTTTGGGGGGGGGTGGGGGCTGACCCTCGCCAGCAGATGGGCAGGACGACAAGCGAGTTGTGTGTGGGGGATTTAAAAGAGCTTTATGGAGTGAATAGCAGCCTGATTAGCCGATAAAGGACGTGTAAGATGGGATGGGGGCTGCCTTTGAAGTCTCGGGCGGCCCAGCGGGGAGCGGGCTTGACTGACACCAAAAGTCTCTTCGGATTACTGCCACACAATGTTTTTCCTCTGTTCCTGCAAGCTTGTTATTCTCTTAAATTCCCTTTCCCTACCCCCCCCCCCCCCCCCCCCCCAAGGGCCTAGAAGAAAAATAGAAGACACCAGATACCCAAGCATCCCCTTGTTCACACCCCGCGTTTTCCTTTTTCCAGAAACTCAGCCTGGTCTTCCCTCTCGGGGGGGGGGGGGGGGGGGGCGGAGCCCCAAACGCTTTTCAAATAAATAAATGTCATCTATTTAAAGAACAAACACACACATTTTATAAATGTATAAAGTCCGTCGTCTTAGAGGCCACGCTTGAGGATCCAAACTCTGTCAAGGACCTTGGAGGACTCGTCTCTAATGACCTAAGGGCTAGGGCCCACTGTAACTACATAGCCAAAAAGGCGTTAAAAGAGTTGTTAACCTAATCCTACATAGCTTCTTCTCTGGTAATATTACACTAATAACTAGAGCATACAACACATTTGCTAGACCAATACTTGAATACAGCTCATCAGTCTGGAACCCACATTACATATCTGATATTAACACAGTTGAAAAAGTCTAGAAAAGTTACAAGAAGGAGGAAGAAAGCAGCACAAACCAGGCAAGATAAGGGCTGGAGGACGTCCACAGATATCAGAACACACACTGGGAAGGATGCCAAACTCAGAGAGGAACCATAAACTTGAGATATTTCCATGCTTTGTTTCCAGCGCTTGCCCGTACACATGTGCATCCTCTTATCCAGTTGTCACAGCTGCAGCCCACGAAGAGGATCAAGGCCCTCTCCCCCTGAGTAGACCATGTCTCTCCCTTATCCTCTCCTCCCTGCGTGCCCTAGGATGGAGAGGGGATGGGCCTGGGTCCTCCTCTGCCCTTCCCCAGCCTCCTCCACCACCTCCGGAGCCCCACTTCCACTCCCTGTCGGCTGTTCCTCCTCTCCCTCAGAGTCAGTCTCCACAGGGGGAATGACAGCCTGTTTTTTGGCCTCCCGAGCCTGCAGAGGCTTCCCTCAAGCCTCAGGAGGGCAAAAATGGCCTCAAACAGGCCAAAAATCAGCTGGGAGGGGCGCGCGAATGCACAGTGCAGGTAAGTTTGGCTGGGGCTCGCGTGCCCACACAAATGGCTCCGCGTGCCACCTGTGGCATGTGTGCCGTGGGTTCTCCATCACGGGGATAGAACACTTCCAATATTTGAGAGGCTGCCACAGAGAAGGGGGTGGGGGGGCTCAACTATTCTCCAAAGCACCTGAGGGTAGGACGAGAAGTAACAGGTGGAAACTGAACAAGGAGAGATTCAACCTGGAAATAAGGAGGCATTTCTCGACAGTGAAAACGGTCAACCAAATGGAACGGAAGTTGCCTTTGGAAGTTGTGGGCGCTCCATCACTGGAGGTTTTCAAGGAGAGACCGGACAGCCGTTTATCCAGAATGGGATAGAATCTCCTGCCTGGGGTTGGACTAGAAGACCTCCAAGGTCCCTTCCAAGCCTGTTTTTCTAACCTGCTCACCGATGCTCCCCAAAACACCTTTTTTTTTTTCCCCAACCAAGTTCTGGCGGCCCAAGAGTGCAGGCTGGATCGTCTTCTCCTGGCAAAGCCGTTGCCTGCGGCCTATCAGCTCAGGAGCTCAGGCTGGGCTGCCAATTTTCTCGTGGCATTTACGGGGCCTTAATATCACTTAATTAGAGGCAGGGAGAACTGGAATCCTTCCCAGGAGGTGGAGTGGGGTCTGTTTTTTCCCCCCGCTTCTCTGTTCAGCAATCAGACTGATGCTATCAACAGAAAAAGTCTCTCTTCCCCTATTTTCTTTTTAAAAATAAAAATAAAAAATCGTCAAGGCTGGTCTCCGGTTGAAAATATAGGAGGGTTTAGTTTTTTCCAAATCAGTTTGGCTCCGGATTGCAGAGGGTCCGGGTAGTCCTCCACTTACGACCACAGTTGAGCCCAGAATCCCTGTTGCTAAGCAAGACGTTTGCTCGGTGAGTTTTGCCCCCTGTTTTACGATCTTTCTTGCCAGTGTTATTAAGTGAATCCCTGTGAGTTACAACATCGTTGAGTGAATCCGTCTTCTCTCCCGTTGAGTCTGCTGGTCAGCAGGTCGCAAAAGGGGACCACGTGACTTCTCCCTGGGACACACTGCAACCGTCATAAACATGAGTCCAGTTGCCAAGCATCCGAATGTATATTGCTTGACCATGGGGATGCGGCAACAGTCATAAGTAAAATGGCCATAAGCCACTTTTTCAATGCTGTTGTAACTTTGAATGGTCACTCAATGAACCATAGCAAGTCGAAGGCTATCTCTACAATTGTGACCGGCCAAATGGAACTTGGTGGACTCATTTGTGCGATGACCCAAAGGGGTGTGGCACAAAAGCAACAAAGTCACAAAAGTAGGTAAAGTCCCTTTCATCCCTCCAACTTGGCCCCCCAATGTCCAGTTATCATCGGTTGGAGAAAAAACTCCCCAAGAAGAGTTTTCAACGGGAAGAAATTCAGTCCGAACCCAAAGTCCATATAGATTATAAATAAAAAGCAACACAAACCACACTGCAGCAATTAACGAGACAGGGCAGGATAAGGAATTGCAGACTTCAAAAGATAACAAAATACACCCAGTTGGGAGGACGCCAGAACCCAGATAAGACGTGACAAACAAAGATAATGCACGTTTTGCTTCCAGCAAGGTTCTGTGCGCAAACACCTTTTTTATCCTGTTTTCCCAGCTGCAGCTAATGAAGGGGATCAGGGCCCTTTTCTCCCCCGTAAGCCACGTTGCTCCCTTCTCCATTCCTCCCTGCGTGCCCTAGGATGAAGAGGGGGTGGGCCTGGGTCTTCCTCTGAATACCCAGCCAGACTGTGCCCTCCCCCAGTTTCCTCCACAGCCACCGGAGCCACCCTCCCACTCCCCGTCAGCTGTTCTACCGCCCCCTCGGAATCAGATTCCGACAAGGGCAGGACAATACGTGAGGGTTGGAAAAGAAAATCAAAGAAGCCTTTCCTCCAGAAAACCGAACCCTTACCGTAATCTTTTTATTTATTTATTCTCTCTCTCTCTCTCTTTTTCTCCAGGCGTGACCTTCTGAAGAAGACTCAAGTCAGACCTCGCCTCAATATTGCCTTTGAATACGCGAGTGGTTTGGATTCCTCGGCTTCAAAGGGCAAGAGGAAGAAACGGCTGAGAAATCTGAGGGAGGAAAATTCTCCCAGCTGATCTGGGAGATCCTCGGTGGCTGGTGGACAGGATCCGAGAAGAGCTGGAAGAGAGGAATGTCCCCTTTCCGCCCCAAGAGAGGAAACCAGGTTCCACCAGGATAGCCTCTTCCTTCCTGGTCTAGAAGAGAGGACCAACCAGGTTCGACCAGCAACTCCCCTTCCCTCCCTGAAGGAAAAATTAACCAGGTTCGAGCAAAAACTTCTCCTCCCTTCATGGTCTACAAAAGACGACCAACCAGGTTTGACCAGGAATGTCCCCTTCCCTCCTGACCTGGAAGAGGAGAATGACCAGGTTCAAGAAGGAACCATCTCTTCCTCCCTGATCTAGAAGGGAAAAAACCAACCAGGTTCCACCAGGGTTAATCCCCCCCCACGCAATTAAAGACATATCGGCAATAAGGCAATTGCGTCTCACCAAACCTTTCAACTCAAATAGGTTTTCACTGCGGGGGGGGGGAAAAAATTAATCCTTTAGGGAGGATTTGGGGAAACTCTGCAAGCAGACAAACCAACTGCAGTAATTTACTTAAAACCACGAGCAAAAAAAAAAAAAGAGGCTGTAAAATCAGGCACAAATCTCTTCGCAACCGCCTCGCTTAGCAACTAAAATTCTGGACCTTGGCCGAGGGCTATTTGACAGAACCTCTTTAATACCAGGGGAACTTTCCAGCTTTTGACATCAAGTCTTGGCTTCCCTCTTCGTCAAGAGACGTTTTGTAAAAGAGCAGCGCAGGCCGTTCAGTTGGGCTGAATTTTTACGCTTCTGAATTTGGCTTCCCTGCTTAGAAGGAAAGTTCGTTTTTCAAAACTGGAGTGTAACTTTTGTGAAAGGAGTGAAGCCTTTCAAATCTAAGTCACAGAAGAGACATATACACACCCCTACACGCCTAAAGCTTGCTTTTGTGTAGCCCAATACACGGAATTGGGTAAAAGCCCCCCCAGGGCCACTTCTGGTAAGGGGGACGGCTGTATAAGTTTGTATACGGCTGTATAAATTCAAATAAAACGGAAAAAATGCTTTCCAGGAAAAACTCCACAGCCAGTTTCCAATGTCTCCTGCTCAAAACGTCCCGAGTACCAGAGTAAGGCCAAGCCCATGTCGGAATTCAGAACAAATCTCACATTTCTGTTTGTTTCTGAGCGCACGCAGTGGAGGAGGAGAGGAGGAAAAAGAGCCTTTTGCGGGAGAAAAATGTCATTCCAACATCGGAAGGTGTGAATGTAGATTTTGACAATCAACATTTCTAAGTGCCTTATAAAGATTCCTCTGAGAATGTACCACTTGGCTGCCTTTCATGTGGCTCTTTGTTCGAGTTGAAGTGACATTAGCAACTTGGGTTTTACCAGTTGCGTGTCAGCGAGGCGATAGGAAGCCGGCTCTCCTGCTGCAGGGGGCTGTCTCTCGGAATAACATAAAATATTATTTTAATGTGCCATCAGATACGGATTTTTTTTTTCCTTTTCTTCATTGCATAGAACATTCAGAGATACATCCGGAAACCTATCCCAGCAGGAAGTTCAATTTGAACCCCTTGGTTTGTGTTTTCCGTAGCCTGAATTCAAACCAATCATCCAGAACAGAGCTGGAAGGGACCTTGGAGGTCTTCTAGTCTAACCCCTCTGAATGCAACATGAAAGCCCTTTGGGGTCTTGTCTTTAATTGGGAGCAGATTTTCAATTTCACCCAAAGCGGCAGATTCTCCTCTTTCCATTTCACCGCCAGCCAAACCTCTTCAACAGGTCATTTCGAAGTGATTTTAAATTTAAAACCCCCTTTTTTTGGGGGGGGGGGTGTGAGGAGAGGGGGCCCTTCCAAGTGCCCGGCCTCTTTTCCCCAAACAGGTCTCCAGAAAGCAGGTTTTCTTAACCGTGTGGCTTTTTCAGGCGTCCGAAAAAGTTGCCCTTCATTCACGCCCGCCGGGACCGTTGCGAGAATAATGAAGCGGCCCCGAATTCTCTCCGGATTTCCATTTTTTAGAGCCATAAGACGGTGGGCTTAATTATTTCGGTCGATCCCCGGTTTTTCTCTCTCTCTCTCTCTCTCTCTCTCTCTCTCTCTTTCACCCTGATAAAAGTCCAAGTTGTTCCTTTGATAGATTTTTAATATGATTTTAAGAGAGTTTTGTTTGGCCTCATTCTTAGGCAATAAGATTAAATTTCAAGCACTTATCCCCTGGGTTTAAGTCAATCCATGTAGGCCGGTCCTTGAACAGGAGGCCCCTTTGTATTGGGGGGCGAGGGGGGGGGACCCCCTCTGTTTGCCCTGCCTTGGAAAAGAGACTGATTTTTTTACTTCATTAACCTTAAGCTGAGGACAATCCTTGCTGGCCTCTTTTTTTTATTTAATAAGCGCACACAAACTCACTCAGATGCTCAGCCCTTCCAAATCCTCTCCCTCCTCCAGTTGTGCTTTGTTATGGAAAGTTGTCATTTTTCACAAGGGCAAAGCAAGGCGGAGGGAATGAACTACGGCCGGAGCCTTATATCCGTTGCAAAGAGTCCCCCCAAATTCTTTTCCTGAGGTTTTGTGTCCCTTTCCCTGCGATACGTTTGCTCGGATCTCTTGGCTAAGGCGCCAGGCTGGGAGTTCTAGTCCTGCCTTAGGCACAAAAGCCGGCTGGGCCATCCCCAGGAAACGGTGAGTTCTAGTCCTACCTTAGGATTGGAAAGCCACCTGGGGGACTTTCAGCCCCGTCGTTCGCTCTCAATCCGACTCACCTCACAGGGTGGTGGTTATAGGGGAAAAAACAGGAGGAATCTGTTGGGTAGGATCGGTGCCTTGAACTATTGGTAAAAATAAGAAAAAACGAGATATAACGGTGGTGCCAGGGTACCCAAGTGGTTTGAAACTCATCAAAACATGATGCTTGGTGCATTTTGACACCAAAACTTTTTGTCCCAGTAGTCCTTGCTTGTTTGGTACCCAGTGAGATTGGAACTTATGACTGACAGCTGCCTTGTGACTCACTGCACTATTCCTTAAGGGGAAATTTTTCATTTGGGCCTCATTGTTTTTGGGTGCTTCCCAGAACCAATAAACAAGGAGTAGCGAGGTACCACTGTAGAAATAAATATATTTTTTTTTAAAAAAAAAAACATGACTGAATAAATCCTGGATGGTCCAGGACCAAAGAGAAAGAAGAGCGAGAGCTCATGGAAATCTTGAGCCCCCAAACTGGTATTTCATCAGAATAATTTGGCCTTCCAACTTGGAGAGGAAAAGGGAGAAGGGGGGAGAGAAAGGAGGGGAGAGGGGGGGATGGCAAACTGAACTGGCAAAAGAAAACCTGCTGCTCTTTTAAAAGGCTCGCAATCCATCTGCCACCTTCCCAAGATGGAAAGTGGGAGAGAGAGAGGGGGGGGGGGGGAGGGGGGGAGAAATCGGGGGAAACCCCCCCCCCCCCCCTTTGAAAACTCCCGGAGACCAGCTGGTGAGGAGAAATTGGCCGAAGACAGACAAGAAATACATTCCGGCTCGCTCTCTTTCTTTCTTTCTCCCCGACCCCAAAAAATATTTCCATAATTATTAAAAGCGGGGAGGACGTCCATTTAGATTAGCCCCAGCTATAATTTACAGCCATTATCCCGTTTTGGAAGACAAGCGTTAATAATTCACCCAGCAAGGTTGGGAAATGATGGTGGGGAGAACTTCTTCCTTGTGGCACCCTGGGTTTTGCAAAGAAGAGGGGGGGGAAGAGGGGGGGAGAAAGGAGACACCCCCCCCAAAAAAACCCAGAAGGAGTCCCTTTTAAAAAAAGTAAAAGGGGAAAGTGCTTCTAAAGGATCATCAAAGCATCCTTCTCACCTCTGGTCCAGCTTTGGTTCCCCACGGTTACAGGTAGTCCTCGAATTACGACCACAACTGAGCCCCCAAATTGGCGAAGTGAGTTTTGCCCACATCTTACGCCCTTTCTTGGCCACGTTCGTTAAGTGAATCGCAGGTTGTTAAGTGAAACTGGCTTTCCCCCGTTGACTTCACTTGTCAGGAGGTGATCCTGCGGTCCCAGGAGGCTGCGGCCGTCATAAATGCCAGCCAGTTGCCGAGCGCCTGGATTTTGATCGTGTGACGATGGGGATGGTGCAATGCTTTGAGTGTGAAAAATGGCCATATAAGTCACTTTATTTCAGTGCCGTTGGAACTTTGGATGGTCACTAAACGAGCTGTTGTAAGTCAAGGGCTATATATATATAAAAAAAGATGTTGAGACACTAGAAAGAGTGCAGAGAAGACCCACCGAGATGACTAAGAGGCTAAAACAGGAAGAACAGTTGCAGGAATTGGGGGCGTCTAGTTTAATAAAAAGAAGGATGTGGGGTGACATGATAGCATCTTCCAGTATCTGAGGGGCTGCCCCAAAGAAGAGGGAGTCAAGCTATTCTCCAAAGCCCCCGAAGGGAGGAGGAGAAGCAACGGGTGGAAACTCATCAAGGAGAGAAGCAACCTAGAACTCAGGAGGAATTTCCTGACAGTGAGAACAATTCATCCGTGGAACCACTTGCCACCAGAAGTTGTGGATACCAACACTGGAAGTTTTTAAAGAAGGGATTGGGCAGCTATTGGTCTGGGATGGTCTAGGGTCTTCTGCTTGAGCAGGGGGTTGGACTAGAAGACCTCTAAAGTCCCTTCTGCGTCTCCTGCTGCTTTCCTTGCATGAAGCCAAAAGTCTCTCTCTTTCTCTCCCCCGAGAACGGAGCTGGAGACGGTATCCTGCGATCCCAAATAAAGAATGATCGATCGGTAGGGAAACGGGGTGGGGAATTTTCCTGCAGACTTTTTGGGGGATTTTCCCAGGGTCTTTGGTCCCCAGGATTTAAAACGATGAGTTTGGTGGTCCCTGAGGTCCAAAAGGTTGCTGACCCCTGGATTAGTCCAGCACTCTGCTCAGGCAGCAGACCCTAGACCATTTCAGACAAATGATGGTGCAATCTCTTCTTAAAAACCTCCCGTGTTGCATCAACCACTCCTTAAGTTACAGCCTGGAAGACACCCCCACTGGGTAGTCCGTGACTTACAATTTCTTATTTAGCAATCGAAATAAGGGTGGTAAAAATAACGTACGACCATTTTTCACCCTGACGACCATTCAAGCATCCCCCACAGTCACGCTATCAACGTAACCTTTAACCAATGTAACAATGGCAGCCGTTCGTTTCACAACAATGGCAAGGTAGGTCGCAAAGTGAGACAAAACTCAATAAATATCTCCCTTAGCGACAGAAAGGTTGGGCTCCGTCGAGAAGGCGGTAAAACCTGGGTGGTTTGCTTGCTTTTGACTAAAAAGAGGGAGAGAGAGAGAGAGAGAGACCTTTTGAAACCGTGTTGAGCTACAA